TACCCTGGGTCCTCTCGCTCACCAGCCCCTCCTCTCCTTGGCCCTTGTGACATCTGCCAGGCGTTCTTGCTGCACAGGCCGGTATTTCAGAAAACAAGGAAAGTACATCAGATGAATGCAGAGGCGCAGCTTGCCCTCCTTTCCCACCACTCGCAGGCCGTTGATAAGCGTGGGTGTATTGGATTAGCTGGGCATTCCAGTATCCCACCGCAGAGAGCCGTGCTTAACTCGGCTGTAACGACGCCGCTGTGGGAACTGCACTGCATGCGGCCGGTGACCTGCCATTATTATTTCCGGGTTGCAGTCCAGCATCGCGACCTGCAGCAACTCCTGCACAATAGCTAGCTTGCGGTCCCGCTCAGGCACTATTTGTTGTCCTGGGTGTTCGCACGACACCCACTCCAGCTGGAGCCCTCCCTCCAGGTGGCCTAGCCAACGTCGCTGTCCGTGAGCGGGCATCTTCTTTAGCTGCCTGGAAGACCTCTCACCACACTGCTACATGTGTAAGTAGCTTTCCTGGCTGGCAGTCCTCGGGTCCGGAAGCAAAAGACGATCTCTTCTACAACTCTTTCTCATTCTGCTGATCTTCTGCGTCATGTCGCCCTAGAGGCTGTAGCCTCTGTCCGGCCTCCTGGAGCAGCTGTATGCCTCGCTACACGCTTCCTTGGGTGTCCCCGCTCCCCTTGCTGGTGTTCGTCCTGCGACGCCGGGTTCTCCCCTTTCTGCTCCTCACTCACCCACTTGCTGCCTTCACAAGGGTCATCGTTTCACGACAGCCGTTCGTCCAGATCAGCTTCCTCCTCCTCCCGGGTGTCCGTGTGGTAGCCCGTGCTAGATCCTCCGGCTCCTTCCCCCTTCTATCCCTCGCTTGATCGCAGTTAACACAGTAAGCCTGGGCTTCTGGGCTTGGGTCTCCTTGCGCGGCGCCCCGGTGTGGCTAACCAGGGCGTCCGCCCGTTGGGCCACCCGTACTGCCTCCGTTGCTGGGTGTTCATACCGGCAGCGCTGCCCAACCTGCACCTTAACACAGGGCCCCTTCCCGCGTAGCTAGTACACAAGTCAGTGCCATTCACATAGCCCCTGTACACGCTCTCCGTGATCTGCTCCTCCCCCAATTCCTGGTATCCCCGCCGACCCAGCTCACGGTTTAGAGCCACCACTACGCTGGCAGGCGGGCTCAGCCGCGGTCCATCGCGGCCCCTCACCGTGAGGCGTTCCCGGGTTAACTAGGCCCTGGTAGCCCACACCCACCGGGCTACGACTTGCGCTCCTCTGGTCGTGGAAGCCGGGAACCCCCGATTGCCGCCCTTCCCATGTCGTTCTGCTGCCCACACTCTTCCTGCGCTCA